ATTGAACAAAATGATGGTTATAATGATGACAATAGTAATGACAATGATTATGACAATAATAGCAATGATTTCGGTCAAATTATCGGCGACTGTAACTCACTTTTGCTAACTATCAAACTTAATAATCGAGAATTAGAGACCATTTAAATCAGTCTCAACCACAAATGATTTCATTTCATTGTATCATTATCTATTTGCGTCTATCTATCTATCTATTTATGTATCTACCTATACGGAAACGGTGACTTATTTATTTAATGCCCTCTTTACTATATACTGTATACTCCCTTCCAATTTTATGAATTAATAGTTAACATTCCGCACCTCTCCGTAATTAAAGAAGTCAATAAAAATGCACAAGGGACGAAAGACAAAAAATTATAATCATATTGCTAAAATTACATTACGCCAATTATTCCATTTATCGTTATTATTCCTTGTTATTGTTATTGCTTGCTTTATCATAGCATCCTCTTCAAACTGTTACGGATACTGTAATGTATAACACATTATCATCCTTGTCGTTATTATTATCACCGTCACCTGCACCATAATCACTATCTCCTTAATATTAATCACTATCGATATGATTTTTATCAGTAGCATCAGTATCATCTGTCTTAGTACTCTTATCAGGATTATGTTAACTTGACTAACATCGAGACTAACATGTTGCCTTTATTAATGTGATGATTTGGTACGAATGAGATTTTTCTTTGTCAATATTGACATAAACATCGTGCTCAAAGGTTGTTTTTCCCTGAAACAATTTTTTTTTTAACTGGAGAACATGAGTATGCTCATACTTTTCCCGTAATTGATTGCCCGTTGTCTCTTCATTAATCTTTCCTCATTTATTATTCTTTTTGTGCAGCAGTTATGCTTAATTTATCACCCTCTCCCCCCTCTGACAAATACTTGTTCCGTAATTACTTTCCATTTATCATTTACGGGTTTCATTTTTTTTTTTCTTTATATATTCCTTTCTACTAGTTAATGCTTAGTTATTAATTCCTCTCAAGACATTTTCACTCACGTTATATGCTCTTGTCCCTTCCCCCTCCGAACCCTCTCTCAAATTTTCCCCATGTCCTTCCATTTCCTATTTCCATTTTGTCTTCCATCTCTCCCACTTCCACCTGTTCGTGACGCGGCCTCACCTGTTCTCCACCTCCGTAAGTCTCGTCTGCCACTCCAGCTCCATCTTCTCTCTCTCCATGGCGAGCTGTGCATCTCTCTCCCTCATGATGAAGTCATGGTGACTCTGGAAGGAATAATGAGTGGGAGAATTTATCATGTATTACGCAAGTTTTCCGTAAAATGTTAGCATTCAGAACAACCTTGAGGTCTGGATTGAACATGAGTTTAGAGCTGTTTTTTTTTCAACTTTTTTGTTTTTACTTCATCCCCAACTCTAGGAATTTCTAGCGCAATTTCACTCTTAAATAAAAAATAGAATACAAATACAGAGAAAGCCCTTATTTACCTTCAAGGTTTAACACGATTTACAGAACAAATACCACTAAACGAGAGTGATTCCTTTCCTATAGTAATTTCAACATTTGTCAAAAACTCTAGCTTCACATTCTGAATTTGGTTAAGAAAAATATCCACATGATATCTGTATAATTTGTTAAAACCAGTGACACGAGCGCTGCTTCATTCAGATTGTCAACATGGACACGTGCCGCTCTTACGGGCCATTGTCCCCAAGTGGAGAACCACTGGCTTAGAGCATATTCAAGCCCTTCTTCCGAAACGACGGTTTAATTCAAGTTCGTTCATTATCGTCGGCCCTTCCCTTTTGGATTACTAGCATACAGATATCACTATTACCATTGCATACAGGGGACATGTTCGATCTCTTTGATTCTCATTCAATTCCAGGGATTAGATTTCCATTCCTATTAGTTTAAGCTTCTTAGCATTGTTCAAACGGACGGACGAAGAGTGAGAAAAAGAGAGATTTCTGGAAAGGGGAAGGAGAAGGAAACATAGAAAGACAGAGACGGTTTACCATTTGCAATTCTCTCACTTTATTACTCTGTTAAGGAACCTTTGTTTCAATAATCATTATAGTTTGGTGACAGAGTGACATAAAGGTTAAAGACGTTAAATTTTGAAATACCGGCAGAACAAAGCGTTGTGTTATAGTGCTAACTTGCGATGCATTCCTAACGCTCCAACAATGTTAAATAGAATAAAATATTATCTACAGTTCATTGCTATATACAACGCATACAATGAAACAAAGGGACATTAGTAATGGCTGATGGCATTAATGTGTTTCCAAGATGAGGCAAAAGTTATTTCTCAACGTTACGTTCTTCAGAGTATATACCTTACTAAATATGAGTATATCAGGCAATAGAAAGAATATTAAGAATCCTTAAAAAATAAACTTTTAAATACTGGCTAATGTCTTTTCCATTTTTTCTATCCTCCCTTCTCATTATCTACGTCCAAAAACAGAAATTAATAAAACATGATATAAAAAGAAAACAAACATGTTCACACTGTTGCCAGGCTAGAGGAAATTCTCTTAAGCAATGAAAAAAAGAAAACCAGTTGTTAGTGGGAGCGGTCGAGGAGACTCCGGGAGAAAATTTTCTTTAAATATCTTTTTCTTATCGAGACTCAAAGACGTCTTTGCCTCGTTGCTTTTTCTCTGGGATTTAACACTCTTCTCTTCTCTTCCTTTTTTTTTTTTACTCATTTACTTCGCTGATTCTTTTCGTTTGTTTTCTCTCTCTTTTCTTTTCTTTCTTCTTCTTCTCCTCCACCTTTTGAGTGTCCAATAACACACGTATCGACATATATATGCATGTATACATATTTTCTTTCTTTCTATCGGTTAAGCTTTATAGGGCTACCTACCCCTCTACCTCTGTCTATTTATTTTTATATTTGTCTATCTATCTATCTATCAACCTCCCCATCTCTCTATTTCTTAATCTATCTATTTATCTATCTATCTGTGTGTGTGTGTGTGTGTGTGTGTGTGTGTGTGTGTGTGTGTGTGTGTGTGTGTGTGTGTAGTCTGGGATGAAGCTTGAGGAAGATCGGGGAAGTTAACTAGGGAAATGTGTGTATATATATGCGCGTGTGTGTATATACACATATACATATATGTATGTTTGTGTGTGCGTCTGTGTGTGTATGTCTGTGTGTGTGTGTATGTGTATGTGTATATGCATACAAACAGACATACATACACACACACTCACACAGGAATACACACACACAAACAAAACAAAAACCCTAAAATACCAACGATGAATAAGGTAGAAGGAAGAAGAAGTAGAAGAAGAGACGAAATAAAACAGACTTCGCATGCTTTTTCACTCCACGCAATTTGTCAGGTTATCCGCCTGGTTTTCTCCTATTTGAAAGTCCTCCTGGGAAATCTGTTTAATGTGAGCTGTCTTTTTATAATTTGTCTTTTTTTCTCTTTCTCTGTCTCTATCCACCTTCTTTCTTTCTCTCTCTCTCTCTCTCTCTCTCTTTCTCTCTCTCTCTCTCTCTCTCTCTCTCTCTCTCTCTCTCTCTCTCTCTCTCTCTCTCTCTCTCTCTCTCTCTTGGCTTCTTAACATGTTTATTTTTTGAGGAGTAGGCTTCCGGGCTATTAATTTAATTTTCTATCTTGCGAATAGCTTCATAGTTCTGTTATAAGTTTTGTTATAAGTAGTATTGGTAATAGTAGTAGCAGTAGTAGTAGAATCATTATCATTTCCATTATCATTTTCATTGTCATCACTCTTATTACCAAAATATTTATTATCATTAGTTTTATATATATATTAACTATCAACTTTCGTCAAAACAGTAAAATAAAGCTGTGACGTGTGTAGTGAAATATGGCGAGGAATTGCCGTAGACTTTTATATTTTCTCTTTTATTAGTTATTGTTAAATTTCATATCATTATCATTATTATCATCATTATTATTGACATTACTGGTTATCATCATTATTATATTGTCCTTATTATCATTATTATTACAATTATTATTATTACCATTATTATTACTATTATCATTATTATTATTACATTATTTTTCATTATTATCAATATTATCATTATTATTATTATTATTATTATCATTACTATTATCATTATTGTCATTACTCTATCATTATTGTCATTATTCTATCATTACTTTTTATTATTATCATTATTATCATCATCATTATTATTATCATTATTACTATTAGCATCATTATTATCATTATCATTACCTCATTATTATTAGCATTATTACATTATTATTAATATGATTACCACTAACTGCCGATTATATATATAAAAAAATCATTACCGTAACTCATTGCTGGCCTTTCATAATTACTCCCGAACAAGTAGTAATTGGAAACTCATTACCAAAGTCACTAATTGGTTCAAATTATTTACTCGAGGAAGACATTAGAGAAGAAAGGGGTGGGCAGAGAGGAAAGGAGAAGGAAGAGAGTAGGGAAGAAAGGAAAGGGGAATGTAGGGAGTAGGGAAGAAAGGAAAAGAAAGAAAGAGAGAGAGGGGGAAGGGAGAGGAAGAGGGAGAAGGCGAGAGTGAGAGAGATAGAGAGAGAGAGAGAGAGAGAGAGAGAGAGAGAGAGAGAGAGAGAGAGAGAGAGAGAAAGAGAAAGAGAAAGAGAAAGAGAGAGAGAGAGAGAGAGAGAGAGAGAGAGAGAGAGAGAGAGAGAGAAAGAGAAAGAGAAAGAAGGGAGGGGGAGAGGGAGGGAGAGAAGAAAAACAACAGCAGTAGTAAGAAGAAAAGAAAAATAGGAAACGAAAACTAGATGCAGAAAGAAATAAAACGGCATAAGAGTAAGTAAAGAAGCTGATAAAATAGGAGCAGAGAAGTGAGAATAACGGTGGACTAAAATAAGTAGACTAAAAGAAGTAAAAAGAAAAAAAAAAGAAAAAAAAAACATAACAAGCGAAAGAAATAATCAGAAAAAGAAAGAAAAGGCAGAGGATAAGATAAGAAGAAAAAAAGCAAAA